CGTGAACAGTACTGCCACTTCCAAACATTAGCCAAAACACTAGCTAACTCACGGGATTTTCTCTCCAAACAATCACAACAACAATCATAACAAGCTAATTTTCTACTTAAACCACACTTAAAACATAGCTTAAAGCTACCAAAATTTCCCCAACCTCACGGGCAGCACATGGAGGGCATAGCTTTGGCAAACCACAACTCACACACACGGGATTTTCACACAAAACATCACAGCAATCAATTAGCACTCAATCACAAAATTTTCACTTGAATTAATGCTTAAATTTTGTCCTAAAGCTACCGGAATTCCTCCCCCATTTTCTACAGAATTTGGACAACATAGGCAACCATCAATCAACTATTTTCAAGAATTAAAGAAGCCAACCTACCAGAAATTTTCCAGCTGCAGAACCGGACATGGCAGGGGGAAGAGGCCGGCGGCAATTTGGGGGAAATTCTGCAGGAACTCACGGGATTTACCCAAAATTAAAGGAACCCAACTTAATCAAAGCTAAAAGGATTAAATCATGGCTGTTTCTTACCAGAAAAGCCGAGAATTCACACCCACACAAGCAGAGGCCGACGGACAAAGGGAAGAAGACAGCGCAGATCTGGAATTTCCAGCAAAGAGGGGGAATTTCTGGGTTTACTAGGTGTTCTAAGACAAGAAAATAAGGAGAAATCCCAAAGCTTTGCCGGATTTCCGGCCGGAAAATGGGTGGCGGTAGTTGGGGGGAGCTCGTCGAGTGTAGAGGGTCGGGGGAGAGGAAGAGCAGGGCACGCGGGTCTGATGGGGAGGGAAAGAAAGGAAGAAAAAGAAAAAGAAAAAGCAATTCATCCTTATCCTAATTTCCTTTCTTTTTAGTCCCTCAACTTTTTTAAAATTTTGCAATTAAGCCCCAAAACAATATTTTTCCTCAAATAAGTCCCCAATTTAATGCTAAAATACCCCAAAATTTTGGGATATTACATCATCAATAGCCAAAAAGCACCCAAAATTCTAGTCAAATGGAGTAGGAAACAATAACTAATCAAAAAAATTTTGGGCTGAGCTAAGCTCTTTAAAAGCATGATTTTTCTCAAAATCACAAGAACCAAAACTGATTTTTTTTTTTTTTATAGCTTAAAAGCAAGGCAACAATGTAGCCTTTTAAACAATAGAAACTTATAATTATTCAAGAGGAAAACAAGTTAGGACTGAGGCAAACATCATAGAATTAGCAAAGCAAAAACCCTGTACCTAGTGCAGAATTTACAACCAAAATGAAGCAAAAGTAGTTAACAACAGAACTTGTGCAAAAACAGGGCATGGGAGCAGTAAGAATAGTGCAAAAAATTTAGTAACATACCAACAAACTGGAGCAAAATGTCTACAAAAATTGGAACCCTTAAGTGGATTTTAGGAAGGAATTTCGAACAACATACTACCCAAATCTAATCGACAAAACAAAGGATGAAATCAAAGCTTGAAGGATGAATTACAACTATTTTTCTTATTGGAAGACGCTAAGAATGGTGACCTCGTACACCACTCTAGTTACCCGACACAGACCAAGAATTGGGGAGAAGGCAACAGTAGTAAGATCTAGATTGATCATGGTTTTAGAGTCATAAGCCTACAAATCCCCAAATCAAACTTGGGAGGATGAAGAAGAACTAAATCTCATTTGATTTTTTTGGTGAAGAGGCATTAAGCAGAAGCTAGGACTTACCGAGGTGAAAGGTTGATGGGGGCTACAAGTGTACAAGGAAACATGAGAACGATAGGGGAAAAATGTGAAAATCAGCCCTAGCCTCCTTTTAATCGCCCAACTTCCCTTTTTAAGCCCCCCTCACGTTTGTAAGTTTTGTTATTGAGCCCAACAATAATAATTTTTCCCACATAAGTCCTCAACTAAATTTTAAGTTTTAAGAAATCTTTATTCCTATTTTTATTTTATTTATTTATTATTATTATTTTGGGGTATTACATTCTTAATATTCTTATTGGTAGCTTCCATTGGACCATTCATCTTTGGCTGGTATGGAGAAAAGTTCATATGTTTAATCTTGAATTGCTTACATAGCACAGTCATCATGTCATTGTTCAAATTGCTTGCATTGCCAATAATGATGGCCTTTGGCTATTTGTATTTACAAATGATCTCCTTCTTGATGAAGTGAGTAAGCACCTTTTTTGTGACACTAGCATAAAAAGTTGCTTCTACCCATTTGGTAAAATAATCAATAGCAACTAGGATAAATTGATGACCATTGGAAGCTCTGGGATTAATTGCCCCAATCACATCAACGCACCACATAAAGAATGGCCAAGGAGCGAATATATTATATTGTAATGAAGGCGGAGCATTAATATGATCAGCATAAATCTAACATTTGTGACAAGCTCGTGCATACTTAATGTAGTCCTGTTCCATAGTTAACCAACAATACCTAGCTCGAAGTATCTTTCTAGCAAGCATTTTTTTTATTTGCATGTGTTCCACACATCCCTTCATGGACCTCTTTCATAACTTGCTTTGCCTTTGTTTCATCAACACATCTCAACAAGGTCATATTAGTAGAACACTTATAAAGTGTATTTCTACTTAAGAAATATGAAGTTGCCAATTTTTTGATAGTCCTCTTGTTCACCTTAGAAGCATGAAAAAGATATTCCCCATGTTGCAAAAACTACTCAATATCATGAAACCATGGTTTTTCATCAACCTTAATCTCCATGTAATGTGTTGGTTCTTAGTTGATCTCAATCATCAACGGCTTGATTGTGTCATCATTGGAGATTTGGATCATTGAGGTTAAAGTTGCTAGAGCATTTGCAAAATGGTTCTTAGCACGGGGCATGTGATTTAAAGAGATGAATCTAAATTTTCTGATGAAGGTTTCAAGGTATTTGTGGATCTTTAGTTTGCCAATCACTATTTGTTTAATAGATGATTAGTGCTGAATCATTGTATATCTCCAAATCTTGGATATTCATGTCCAAAGTGGCATGCATTCTGGCAATACAGGCCTCATATTTAGCTATGTTGTTGGTACAAGCAAAATCAAGCTTTACAGCAATAGGAAAATGATAACCCTTTAGGGATACCAACACAGCTCCAAGGCCACAACCAAGTTAATTAACAGCTTCATCAAAGAGGAGCTTCCAATTATTTGAATTAGACTTTGCCTCCACTGCTAAAATGTCTTCATCAAGAAAATCCCAATCAATAGGTTTATAATCCTCCACTGCATGCTCGACCAAATGATTTGCAATGGCTTGCCCTTTGATGGCCTTTTGTGTTGTGTGAATAATGTTAAATTCAGAAAGCAACATATACCATCGAGAGATTTTTCCAGAGAGGGTGGGTTTTTCAAATATGAATTTTATTGGATCCATTCTTGAAAGTAGGTAAGTGGTGTTGGTTAACATCTAATGACAAAGTTTCTTGGATGTCCAGGCTAAGGCATAACAAGTTTTTTCTAATGTTGAGTGTTTACTCTCACAATCATTGAACTTCTTGCTCACATAATAAATGGCTCTCTTTTTCCTACCTGAGTCGTTATGTTGGACAAGGATGGCTCATATAGATCTTTCAAGGACAGTGATATACAGGATAAAAGGTCTTTCATCAGTTAGTGGTATAAGGATGGGTGGGTTTTTGAGGTATTCTTTGATTTTGTCAAAGGCTTGTTGGCATTAGTTATTCCAGGTATCGAGGTTGTCTTTTTTGAGGAGTTTGAAGATAGGTTCACAAGTGGTGGTAAGGTTGGCAATGAAATGGGCAATGTAATTAATTCTTCCCAAGAAACTTTGAACTTCCTTTTGGGTTTTTGGTGGTGGCATTTCATCAATGGCTTTTTTTTTTGTTGGATCAATCTCTATTCCTTGGCGGTTCACAATGAAGCCAAGTAGCTTTCCCAAATTCACATCAAAAGTACATTTGGCACCATTAAGTCTCATTTGGTATCTTCTAAGGCATTCAAACACCTTTTTAAGATTTTCTATATGTAGCACCTCTTCTTTAGATGTAATCATCTTGTCATCAACATATAGTTCAATAATGGTATGTACAAAGTCATGTAATAAAGTAATCATGGAGCGTTGGTATGTTGCCCTGGCATTTTTGAGCCAAAAGGCATAACTTTGTAGCAGAAAGTACCCCATTGAGCAATGAATTTTGTCTTGAGCTTATCATCTTTCTTCATTTTTATTTGATTATACTTAGAGTAGCCATCAACGAAAGAGAATCGAGCATTTTTTATAGCATTATCTAGTAGTATTAGGATATAAGGCAATGGAAAATCATGCTTGGGGCTTGTTTTGTTCAAGTCAGTATAATCCACACAAACTCTAACTCGACCATCCTTTTTCATTATAGGAACAATATTGGCTACCCATTCCAGATACATAGCTATTTGAATGGAATTGACATCTAGTAACTTCTATACTTCTTCTTTGACTTTCACTAAAACCTTTGGCTTCATCCTTCTTAGCTTTTTCTTGACTAGCATCAAGATAGAGTGGAATGGCATGAACAACGATCTTAGGGTCAAGTCTTGGCATGTCCTTGTAAGACCAAGCAAAAACATCTTGAAATTCAAATAAGAGCTCTATCAACTTTTTTCTCTCCTTTGAAGATAGATAAGCATTGATTTCTATCTTTTCTCTGTCATCTTTAGTGCCTAGATTAATGGTTTCTATCTCTTGATTTGGTTGCAGCTTTGGCTTCTCCTCTCTTAGCATTTGAGTTAGTTCATGGAAAGATCAAGATTTTCATTATCTTCTTCATTATAGGTCTAATAATCATATCTCATATAAAGTCTAACATGGTGTCATTGTTTAAAAATTCATCATTAGCAGGTCTGAAAATTTGGATGGAAGTAAATAAATGGCTAAATATTGATAAAGTAAAGATAAGAACATGTTACTAAATAACCTCATGAAATATATCATTAAAAGAGTGGTTTGTACAATGAAGATTCAAGTAAAGTTGCATCATGGTGATTTTTACAATGATAGGTAGGATTGCAACATGTTTTATTTAAAAGGAAAGCATGGGAATACTAAGGGCATGATAACATAAATTTTAGAAAATATAAAGGTGCTTGTTGAATCCCTCTCTTCATGTAGTCACAAGCAGATTACTAGAAGGCTAACTCTTCTTATGCAGAGATGAAAGCTACAAGGAGAAGTTCCGTTGGCTAATGAGCTTGAGAGTTTCCACTAACTAGAGAAATTCCCCTATCAAATTCTAGTCCTTTCTCATCTAAAGCATTTATAGTCAAATTTTCCCATGAGTCACATAATGATTTCTCTTCCATTGATTCAAGAGCCACAGACTCATGTGAACCCATTAGAGCTTTTGTATGATGAACAAGATGGAAGTTAGGGTGCTTCTCTATAAATGCCCTTTCAACTAGTATCCCTTTCCACCTCTCTTTAGGATTTGTCATGTTGAACAACCCAAAGAGATTATTGAAACCAAAATAGTCTTCCTTATCATCAAAACAGACCTCATTAGTAATATCTTCCACAATCACTTCCTCAAACTGTGATTGCTTTGAACATCCTCTCACTTTAATCAATCTATAAGAGAAAACAGTGCCCTTTGGGTCTATATACAAAATGTCCATATGTTTCACCATATATCCATTAAGAGAATTGCACAAAATCTCAACAAGTTGTGGGAATGTGACTCTAATTTGTGGCACCCACATTGGTTCATCTTGTGGATCTCTCCCTTGAACTCTAGCAAGGTGTTTCTCAACTTTAACAACATGAATCCTTTACCAATCTTCCTTCTTCGGCTTGTATCCCAAACCAAAAGTTCCCCAAGTTTGAATTATCTCAATAGGTTCAAGAATTCCTTGTCCATTCAATCCCTAACCCTTTCCCAATTGATAATGACATGAAAACATGATCCTAGCAGCAACTTTGGTAGGTTTAGACATTTCAGCCTTTCTTCCTTTAAATTTTAGATGAATATAAGAAATTGTAACACACTCCATCGAGTGATAAGAGGGTTCATAAGTTCCAAGATCACCTTCTAAGTAAGGGATGGTTGTAGCCTTTCGGATAACATGCTTTTCCTCACCATTCTCAGTAACCAGTAACCAGGACATCATTGACAATGTATTTGACTTTCTTGATGTAAAGTGGATAGTACCACTCTGGCAACATGTATCCACAACCTTCCACGAAGCATATTAAAAGTAGGAGAAATGTCCAAAACAAAGAAATCCATATGAAAAGTCATAAGACCAATTTCCACTAGAAGCTCAATTTTTCCAACTACCTCTCTTTTCATTCCATCAAAAGCATGAACCACTATACTACAATGATTGATATGAGACTCATCAACTTTCAATTGCTTCAAAACAATCAAAGGATCACATTCAAAGCTCACCCAATGTCAATCAACACATGAGGCACATTCATCATCTTACACTAGATAGAATTATGAAAAGCCTTGGTATGTCCATTGCCTTCGTCAAGGTTCTCATCATCAGTGAAATTAATGTAATTTGGAGACAAAATTGCCCCAACCACAGTTCCAAACTTATGGCTATCAATGTTCGTAGGCATATGCGCTTTTTTCAAGACTCTAAGGCATCTTGGTGAGCTTCAAATGACAACATCAATTCTAAGATGAAATTTTCATAGGTGTTTTATTGAGCTGCTCAATGATGGTATACTAACTCTTCCTCAAAATATTCAGAAATTTAGTAACTTCTTTTTCTAACACTGGCTTCTTAGGTGATTCTTCTGGCATTTGTTCAATTTTGATATCTTTTAACTTCAAGGCAACCTTCTTAACTCTTCTATTTCGAGACTCACATAGCACCAACCACTACGGGTCATATTAAACACATCATTAGTTGTAGGATTCAAAATGGCAGATCCTTTGTATATCAAACGGAATGATGAAAATGAACACTATTATGCCTTTTTATCATTTGGCCATGGTGAGCACTTGTATAATATTGCTATGCATGTTTGGTGCTGTGCCAAAATAAAGAATGAGTAATATGGATGTGTGATGTGGTATCATTTTATTGAACCAAGCGGTGGTGGTCGACGATTCTTACGAACACATAAAAATATAGAAGAAATATGGTCGCAATTACCAACGACCAATAATTTTTTCCCCTTGTATGGAAGAATAAAGCTATGCATGACTGCCAGCCATGTTGTATAAATATTGCAACGTTAGCCAGAATAACTTCCCCAAAGATAGAGGGACAACAGTGGCTAGTTTTATTCATGACTGAAGCATGAACTATGTGGAATTAGAAAAGCATTGCCATTAATCCTCTAAGTGGTGAAGGGGATAAATCTTACTAATCCTTAAACATGTGATAAAAATGGGTGGAGTTTTATCCTTGAAAAGGGGATGCCAACTAGATCCATGGCCTCCAATACGACAAGGTGTGATACCACAATCAAACGCTTGCCTTTGTTGCCGTACCCACACTATCAAAAGATGGTCCTAGTTGTTATAACCTGTCAAGCACCACACCACAATGCACAAGTAACCACCAAGGAATTGTTGGCCACAACTTGATGGATTTTTATCGCTATAGGATAGCCATCCCAACCAATTGTTGGGTTACAACTAGTATTAGCCTCACGCTAATCATACCAAATTGCATTGACTTTTTGTCCATTTTTAGGAGCCAATAAAAATATAATATATAGAGATTCAACCCTGTCACACCTTAAAACCAGGAGCGAAACAGACACCATACACTTTGAAAGAATCCCACAAATGCACAACACTCGAAACTTGCTAAATTCATTACTAATAGTTCACATAAACTTAGATCAATATTTCAAAACAAAATCTAGCTTACAAAGAATAATCTACAACTCAAAATCTACGTCCAAAATACAATGGCTAGCCTTCTAACTCGTCACTCCCCTTGGTTTCCCATGTCTCAGGTCACACTACTTGAAATGGTGGATAAGGAAAAACTATGAGATATCTCAGTAAATAAAATATGAATAACCCTCACTAGAATTTTAAAGCATGTCAAGTAAATATTTTAATTTTGAGCAAGAAGAAAATCACAGTTATAACTCATTTAGGCATACTGAAATCTATTTAGTGGTCCCCTCAATTAGTCATAGTTAGTGTATTCTCCCAACTGGCTAGATAATAGAAATACCAGGGTACTCTCCCACGGTTGAATAACAGAAAATGCCAATGTACCCTCCCATTGGCTGGTGAACTGACTTTACAGAAATACATGTTGACATGTGCCAGCGTTTAACTTTTATTGGTAGGATAACAGAATTCATGACCATATTGGAGACAAAACCCTGCAAGAGTTAACAGTAAAATTCAAAATTCACAAACCAATTTTAGATTTCCAGAATAAACAAGAAAATACCATGTAGGCATGCTTAGTTCAATAAAAACAAAAAACAAAAACAATTTCATTTCAACCAATCATGCTAGTTTTTGTATAAAACAGGTTTAATCCCACCACAACTTCAAAAAATATTGTAAAATATAGTTTTAAAACCTTTACCTTAAAATCCAAGGGTATTTACCATGGTTTTACTTACCTCACCTTATAGGTATACAACAATTAAGGAATTCAAGAAGTTAAAGTGCTTGAGGTGATTTAAAACCTATACCACACCAAATAAATACTTAAAATATGCCTAAAACAGCTCCAAAAAGACACACGAACAAAAAGTATCCCAAACAGATTTTCTGGACAAAATAAGGTGCAAAATGGTGAAAAATTGAGCTCTTAGCTATCTTAGACGCAGCAGAAGTATTAGGCAGCAAAGTGGGGGGTTTTTCCATTTATAGTAGTCCCCAAATGCTTGGAATAAGCCCTAGACAGTAGGGATTTTTTGGGCAATAAGATAGCAACGAAACATGGTAGGACACATGTTAGAACTGGACAAAAGTGGACAAGCATTTAAGCAGCAAAAAAGGCAACCAAAGTAAAGCAATAACAAAGGTTTTAAAGTAGAAAAATAGCAGCTAAAATTCTACTAAAACTATGATGTAATGTAGTAGCAGATACAGTGGGAATAAAACAGAAAAGAGAGCAATTTCTATCAAGTTCTAGTCAAATTTCATGCTAGAAATTCCAACAAAATTCACACCCTGAAATTGACTAATCTGGGTAAAGTGGACAACAGATAAGTTGTAGCCCTATGTCTTAGAGTTCTATAGCATCAATAATTACATTAGTTTGACATCTACAGAGAAAGTTATGGCCAAAAAACCAACACAGGGTCGGGCTGCTAGTTAAGTCCGCCTGCGAGAATTAGACTTGCAGCAAATTTTCCACCAAGAAAACAATTGAATAGGGTTAAACATATAACATAAAAATTGTAGGGCTATCTCTTAGCTTTCTATAGAGTTAAAAATGGATTTAATCTGATAACTACATAAAAACTTATGGGCAAATTACTACAAAAGGGTCATGCAGCCCGAATTTGTAGCAAAAAGATGAATCACAACTAATGATTCTAGATTATGGCAAAAACTCAAAGGGGAAACTATAGAAACACTCCCAAAATTGAAAACCCTAAATGATTAAAGATAACCCACTTCAAATTCAAGATGAAAAGGTGAGCAATATGTCAAATTCTTACCGGAAGTGCTGGAAAAATGCTAGCCTCTCCTCACACTTGACATGGACTAGAAAATGGAAGAATACCAGTAGCAAGATCTGAGTTTTTATCATGATTTTAAGAATCATAAGCTCATAAATCTCTAGCCCTTACTAGGAGAAGGAAGAAAAATGCTAAATCTCACCTTATTCTAATGGGATGAAGATGGCATGGGCTAGGGCCTGAGGGGAAACCATGATAAAAAGGCTAGGAGAGAAAGAGCAAATTAGCTCAGCCTTTTTTATCCTTAAATTTTTACTTTTAACCCCCTTAGCTTTGTGAATTTAAGCTATTAAATCCAACAAAAATAATCTCAACCACATAAGTCCCTAACTTAAATTTTAAAGTCTTAAAAAATTTTGGGATATTACAGACCCTTTGTCTGTTTCTTTGAGTTGGTGTAATGAAGATGTGTAAGAATATGTAGCCTTTTGCCCATTACTAGAAACTAAATGAGATAGCAAATCTGGCCCTTTGTCCATCACTGAGAGCTATATACGTATAATAGAATCAACATGTTGCTCATTGATAGGAAATAGTGGTAGAAATGTATAAAGTAAATATTTGGCCATTTATCCATCATTGGGAGCTATATAGATATGATAAGATGAGCTCATTGTCCTTTGATGGAAGTCATGTAGATGTAACGAAATAGGCACTTTATCCATTGCTGGAAGCCAAAAAGATTTAGTAATGAATGTTGCAGTGGAGATCATGATCATAAAAAATGTTCAACCATGTTGTGGAGATAGATGCAATTAAGTCTAGCCATGTATATGAGAATGGTATTAAAGTAGACCATGTTTACAATATTTCTAGCGAAGTAGATGAATGCCACTTCTAGCAATGCTGACTCTATTATAGTCATCAATAGAAAATAAAATACAACAAATTTGATGTGGAAATAAACCATATAGGCCCTTCCTAGTCACATGTCCAAAGGTGGTCTTGTTGACGTAGCACTGTACAAGTTGTGAATCTCAAAGAAATACAAATTCCTCCCTTAATACCATTCAATGCTTATTATTTGTCATCGGATTGCAATGTCAAATAACTAAGCAAATAAAATCCCTTGACATGGATGTTTGTTGTCCATTCAATACTTATTATTTGACGTCACACTATCGTGTCAAACAAAATGTCAATATCCTTTATATATTTCACAATAAATTTTTTAATTATTTTTATAATTGACACTACTTATAGTGTCAAAAATAATTATACAAGATTATTATTATATTGATACCCTAGTATAGTGCCCAATAAATTTAGTGAAAAAGATTCCAATATGGCTTGTAATTATTTAACATTGCATTAAAGTATCAAATAATAATAATATCAAATATTTGATTAAAATATAATATTTTTTTATCAATAAAGTTTTAACATTGTAGTATGAAGTCTACAACTTTTTATTTAACACTACTTGAGTCTAGTGTCAAATAAAAGGTGCCAAAAAATCATTTTTCTAGTAGTAGGGTGTCAATAAACAAAATATTATAACTAATTGGAAAATTGATCTTCTTCTATGCTAAAAAGTTGTAGAATCACTATGGAAGCTATTTATGAACTTGAAGGAATCCAAGTTATTACAGGGCAGACCTAGGTAAACTTCAAAAGATGTAGCTAATTGAGGGTGGACTTCAAAGAGAGTTGTTGTGTTAGGTTAAATCATTGTAGAGATGTGATTTGTGAGAGGTAGACCTGGCAAATGGCTGGGTTGGGCTGGGTTAGGGTCGAGTTAGAACAGGTGATGGGTCAAAACGAGTTGGGTTAAAATGGGTCACGGGTCAAGAAAGGCTAACCTTAACCCGCCCATTACATGTCATGGGTTAACCCGCGAGTTGACCCAATTGATTTTTTTTTTCCTTTTTTTCTTTGTAATTTGTACCTATTACCATCCAAATTATTTTGGATGGTTGATTGGTTTCACAATCCACAAATTAACATTCAAATACCAAGTTAACATAAACTAGTTAAGTAGGCACAAGTAGAATAGAGATCTCATCTCAAGAAATAACCAACAATAGCCTTTAAAATTCAATTGGCTGTATTCTTTTAGCATGACATAAAACTTGAAAAGAAAAGAAAAATGGACAATGACTTCATTCCTTGATGCATACTTCCATCATTGATGCAAAAGTTAACATTATCAATTGACAAAGTTTATAGTGCCAAAACAGTACAAAAAAGGCTGCCAAGTACAAATCCCACTTTAGGAACAGAAAAGAAGAGAAAATTCACAAAATTCATAGTGCCACAATTGTCCAAAAAGGGCTGCCAAGTAACAATCATGATTTAGGAATAGAAAATAAAAGAAATTCACAAAGTTTATAGTGTCAATTGCCAATGTTATCCAAAAATAGTAGGCTATCAACCAAGTACTAACTATAACTAGGTAACTACCAAATATTGAGAAAATAAAAGACTACCAAATAACAACTCCCAAGTGCAAATATAGGAGACAAAAACAAGTTGGTGGGAGAATAAACAGGCTACCAAGTACCAACATTGTCCAACCTAAGTGTGCCCCTAAACACAAAAAATTAATATGGTTATAAACTTCGAAGGACATTAAGAAACTCATACTGACATTTGCCAAACAAATTCAGTGTTAAGAAAAAAAAAACCCATTGTTGAAGATAGGAAGTTTTGAGCTGTTTTAGACTTTAAGTTAATAAAAATTTACCTCAAGAGGTATCTTCTTCACCTTTCAAAATGGTAAAAGCTTGTCCTTGGGAGAGTCCTACTCTTCCAAGCTCACTAGTTGGAGGAGGAAAAGTCATACTTATATTGTCCAAGTTTGAACGAAATTCACATCCTATCTCTTCACCTTCAACATTTGCTTTTAAAGAAGTCAATATACATTATTAATATTAGTCATTATTAATATTAGTCATTCTTAATCCAATCATCTTTAATTGCAAATTGAAAATAGGTAGATTCAATGAACAAGAACAAAAGAAGCATATTACCTTCCTTTCCAAATGCTTCCAACCAAGTTCAAGTTGTAAGCAAAGCTTTTGCATTTTGAGGTAAAAGAGATCCCCTCAACTTGCTTATAATTCTCCCACCCATGCTAAATGCAAATTCAAAAGCTACTGTGGTAATTGGAATGGTTAGAATATCTCTTACCATTCTAGATAAGTTAGGAAGATGTCTCTCATTACTAGACCAATAAGCAAGGACATCCAAATCCTACTCTAAAGCAAGCCTTCCCTCCTTCAAATATTGTCGTAATTCAGATGTATGAACCTTTTCCACATTGAAACTTTGAAAACCCTACATTAAATATGAGCCACCAAACCATAAAATAGCATAAATATAGTTTTATACCACTAAAATGGTAGCAAGAATGAGTAGAGATATATACCAAAAACTGTAGAAACATGACAATAAAACTGCAGAAAACAATGAGTAGCAGTTATTAAAATTAGCCACCAAATCATAAAATAGCAGAAATATAGTTTTATACCACAAAAATGGTAGCAAAAATAAGTAGAAATATATACCAAAAACTACAGAAACATGCAGAAACATGGCAACAAAAGTGCAGGAAACAATAAGCAACAATCACCAAAGCCAGCCACCAAACCATAAAATAGCATAAATATATTTTTATACCACAAACATGGCAGCAAAAATGAGCAGAAATATATACCAAAAAATGCATAAACACGGCAACAAAAGTGTAGAAAACCATGGGCAGCAGTCACCAAACCATAAAATGGCAAAAATATAGTTTTATACCACCAAAATTGTAGAAAAAATGAGCAGAAAAATATACCAAAAACTACAGAAACATGACAATAAAAGTGTAGAAAATAATGAGCAGCAGTCACTAAAACTAGCCACTAAACCATAAAATGGCAGAAGTATAGTTTTATACCAAAAAAATGGCAACCAAAATGAGCAGAAAAATATACTAAAAACATGCAGAAACATGGCAATAAAAGTGTAGGAAACAATGAGTAACAATCACTAAAACTAGCCACTAAACCATAAAATGGCAAAAATATAGTTTTATACTACAAAAATGGCAGCCAAAATGAGCAGAAAAATATACCAAAAACTACAAAAACATGGCAATAAAAGTGTAAGAAACAATGAGCTATAGTTACTAAAATTAGCCACCAAACTATAAAATAGTAGAAATATAGTTTTGTACCACCAAAATGGCAGCAAAAATGAACAGAAAAATATGCCAAAAATTGCAAAAACATGGCAATCAAAGTGTAGAAAACAATGAGTAGTAGTCACTAAAATCAGCCACCAAACCATAAAATAGCAGAAATATAGTTTTATACTACAAAAATAGCAGAAAAAAATGAGTAGAAATATATACCAAAAACTACATAAATATGGCAACAAAAATGCAAGAAATAATGAGTAGCAATCACTAAAATTAGCCACCAAATTATAAAATAAAAAAAAAAGAGTAGACTTTTACATCACAAAAATGGCAATAAAAATGAGTAGAAAAATATACTAAAAATGAAAAAAAAACATAGAAAAAAGTGAAGGAAAATTAAGAGCAACAAACCAAAAAAATGGTACATAAATTTACCTTGATAACCTTGTAAGTGGCTAAACATCATGCTTTGCTGGTGGTATATGTAGAATCTATTGTTATTGTACTTTTCTTACTAGTATTAGAGCTGTTATTTATTACATATTCATTGTAGAGATCAAACAACAATTTAGAACTATGTTCAATCTTAGCCTTCCATTTTTCTTCATCATCTTTATTTATCATTTGTTAGCAATATGTTACAAAGTCTAGCTTATAACAAGGATCAAGAATAATGCCAAAAGCAAGTATCACACTATAAGAGTCCCAATACTTATCAAATTTATCTTTCATCCTACTGGCCATCTCCCTTAAATATACATCCTCACTTTTCATATAATCCAACAAGTACCATTCAATCATCCACATAAATTTAAAGTACAAATTTGCTGTTGGATATTTAGATCCAGAAAACAAAGCAGTAATTTCAACAAAAGGTGTTAATAACTCTGAAATCTAAGAACTCGAGCCCAATCTTCTTCATCCAATGAACATTTAAAATGCTCATCATCCAACTCAAAAGTAATGTAAGCTTCTTTATATAAGAGTGCCCTATCAAGCATGGTGTGTGTAGAATTCCACCTAGTAGGGGAATCTAACCATAATCCCTTCCT